GAGCTCTAACGATTTTAGTAGGTTTGGATGAGAGAAGAAATGAAAGAGATGACTACCAAGAAACTAGTATAGTTGAGCTTTTAGGGTTGGTTCTAATATCAAAGCCTACTACACGACTCATTTCATAAATGTTTAAGGGGATGGACTTGATCCCTGTCCACTCACAACTGATTTGTAAACACGGAATACCAGAAGCAAAAAGAAAGATAAACAATCACCTAAGGCATCACCTGAATCATCCTGTCAAGAGCCTTGAACATGAGCTCTAACGATTTTAGTAGGTTTGGAAGAGAGAAGAAATGAAAGAGATGAGAGTGAGAGACGTAAGGAAGACAGGTAGCTTGAGAGAGATTCAAAAATGGAGGTTTTCTTTAGTCCAATCCCGATACAGTCTGACTGATGTTCCTGTATCTATACATGAGCCTCTGGCCATAACAGCTCTAACTAACCGGTCCCACAATCCTAACTGTCACGATTAGGTACCATAACAACCCCTTTCCCAACTTATTACAAAACCGGACATCTCTGGTAAACCTTTAAAGGTTTCCCAGTACTAACACATCTGTAACTCCATATGCATACACTTTTGGCATGAGAGTAACAGGCCGTGAGTTTCTGTTAGGAAAATAAGCATTACCTTGCTTTCTATGCATAAAGTACAAGCAAACCCATATTTTCAGTAAAGATCAATCACAAAGTATAGAGTAAACAAATTGTTCAGTCTAAGTGAAACAACATTCCCCATGCACAATACAACAAAATATCACTTTTATAGACTGCAAAATCTGCTCAATTCCATAAACATGTATAGGATAAGAGAGTACATCAATCATTTGGTAGGAAGAATTCCATATTTTCATGATCTTAACTGACTGACACCAAGCATGAAAAACATTCCTTACATGATATTTCTGGCTGTATATAAGGAGATTAGCCACTTTCCTTCTTAGAGAATTTTTTTAAGGAAAGCAGCCACATACACATATAAATGTAGAAAAACATAATTCCATGCCTTTCCATATTTTCTATGGGTTTTTTGGTATTTCTATGTTGATAGCAGTAAAATGACAAATTGACAATTGCTTGCTAACATAAGGGATGAGTTCTTATATGCTTCTTTTCCCATTGCAAACAAATTTAAGTATTTTTGCACTCAAAAATAGGTGGTCTCATTTTAATTAAAGACTATTAAAAAGACAACTTCACATAATACTGATGATATAGTTTAAAAAACTATACCCGGACAAGCTTGTACACAACTGGGTTGCCAATCTGCTTTCTTGAAGGCAAAGAAGAGTCATCATTCTTAACACCAAGGTCCTCAAGTTTTCCTTCATAATTTTCGTCAGCTCCGACCAGTGTTGCCATGGAAAATCCACGACATGCAACTCAAATACATACACTGAAATACCACTTTGCAATTGTAAATATTAACAACCAAAAAAAAAAAGATTAAACTCATTCTAATTGTCATGCATATGGATATGGTATGTGTATGTGCAAACAATAGATAATTGCCAATCAAAATCATTGTTAAGGTAAACTGGAAAGAAATTAGACAATAAAAGTAGTGGTGCAGGATGAGCTTCCACAAAATAAAACCAGCAAATCACATATAAGCCTATGCAACGTATAAATTAGGAAAAAAAAAAGAGCTGTTCAAAATCCATTTTCCATTCTAAGCACAATTGCATTACAGTTCAAAAAACTATAAAATTTAAGAAGCCCTAAAGTCTAATATTGCAGATAACAATAACTGAAAGCAAAATACTCTCCTCCAATTGCATATCCACACATACACAGTGTATATACCACCTATGTGGCTATGCATGCATAATATCTCCATAACAAAACCAATTGAAAATCGCATTTCCAAGCTAAATTCAAAAAGAAAATGGAAGGAAATTAGAAGGAATTGGAGAGTTTAATTTCACTCACCATAAGATGATGATGGATAACCGGGTTGACTCAGTATCAACTAGTAAGAAATATACTGAGAAATGAGACAAATTCTTCGGATTATACGCGTCGTAGACAGACTTAACCAAATGAGTTGCCGGAGATTCTCGAAGGAGAAACTTGTAAGATAAGAAAATTGATAATTCTTTTCTTTTAACTTTTTAGGAAATTAAATTAATTATACGATTTCTTCTGTGAGCATAGGCTGTGACTATGCTCCCTCTTGGCTCGCTTTTCCAGCACGCTGACTGAGATACAGTTCCGGATTTGAAGTTACATATTAATTGAATTTTATAAGGGCACGTGGAGTCCGGATTTTTCTGGCGGTGGGCGTAGTCGTTGGTCGGATATTTTTTTATGGGAAGATAGAAACTTGTATATAATATTTGTTTAAATAGAATTATAAATTTAACTTCATTAAATTAAAATAAATTAATGAAATTATTATATTTTTAAATAAAAGCTATTTTTTAATAACTAAATTATTTAATTAAAAATAAATAAAAATTATTTTAAAAGTAAAAGTAATAACTAACGAACTTTGTCTGTACAGGTATTTATGTATTTGTTTATATTTGAGATTTTGTTCTTAATTATTATTTAGTACAAATTAATATAGACTACATTGAATTTAAAAATAAAAAAGAATTAAAAATATATTTAATACATACTTAATTAGATAAATAAATTTTGTAAAAAATAAAATAAGTGATTAACCAATTAAAAAAATTGTAAATTAATCATAAATTAATATATATTTTTATTGTATTTAAGAATACATTTAATGCATATTTAAAAAAAAAAACCCAATCACAAAACTATGTGAAGGAAACGGGAAAGTGAATCTATCTCGCGGGAAAGGAAACGGCTGGATAGGATCAAATTAACAAAATCCACGTCTTATCTATCCATGGCGGCTCGTACTGTTCCTTCTACTCTCTTCAGCCAAACTTCTACTCTCATTTTCTCTTCCCGAAATCAATGGAGGGCCCTGAGCCCCTCCCTCCCTGTGAGCATCGTAAAACGTGCTCTCACTTGTTGCTCGGCGAAGAAGAAGAAGAATATCACCTTTGTGGATCAAATCCTTGACTACATTGAAGGTTTCTTTCACACTCTCAAATCCAGTTCTTTTCCGTATTTGTATAGGATTTCCACATGTTATACGTTATTCTAATTTCTCCTTCTTTCAGATATTACGTTTATTCGCTACTTGCTAGAAGTCTCGATCAAGCTAGATTATATTTATGCCATTTGGCTCGGGATTTGAATTAAACAAGATTCTTAAGTTGTCGAAGTTGTCAGATCCCAAAGTTTGTAATAAATCTAATGTTCTGCTGCACTTATTTTTCTGAGATTTGTTAGCTTCGTCTGTTGGAAAAATATATTCTCCTTAACTTAAATTGCTTAATTTCTAAATGTTTAATGTTTGGCTGTATGCAGGGGGTCCCAAATTGAGGAAATGGTATGGGGCACCTGATCTCCTACCAAAAGATGGAGCTACCGAGGAAGATGAGGATGGTTATCCGGGTAATTCAATCTGTAATCTTTTGTTTATATATGACCGTGCTCACTTTAAATTCCATCGGAGAAGACTAAATTCTTGTTTAGAATCACAGAAGATGAAGAAGGTAGAGATGCAGTTTTAGTAACAGATGGAGATGGTGAAATTGGTCAGGTGTGTCAAACCAATAAGATTAGAAAACAATTCATGCTCTCACCAAGTTTTGCCTTCTTTTTTTGGTTAGTTAGCAATCTGTTGTTTCAATTTTTTGTGCTTGAATACATGTTGAAAAAGCACTGTAATCTTTCATTTGTCCGAAACTTCTGTGTATGATGAGTATAGATATGGAGCTCTTGAGTTGACTTACCAGGTATTAGTGCATTGTGATCACTACAGGGAGGCTGGTTTTTCTTGACCTGGTACACAATATTCAATAGCTTAATTTGAAATCTGAGCATTGTGATCTCTAGCTTATGTAGATGATCATATTGCAACTAATTGTCAAAAGAGCTCGAGTTAAAGCACTGGTGAAGGATAAGAAAACTGCTATGGAAGCATTTGGAACTTATGTTGAGGTGGGTGGATGTGAATTTATTTAACCCTTTCTTTTTCCATATTTTACCTTTGACCTTGGTATTGAAAGTGGTTATGGAATTGTTTTATGTTGAATGCAAAGTTAATGACCAGAGATGCAAGTGATGACTCATTCCTAAAGAAAGCTCTTAGAGGTGTCCGTGCAATAATATGTCCAAATGTATGTTTTCCTTGGCTCATCTCTAGTTGTATGCAAATTCATCTTAAGTTGTTTCTCACTGTTTAGTTTCATACTAGTCCATTAGTGTTAATCTTAGCAATTTAACTCACACGAATTCTTTTCATTCCTTTTTGCAGGAAGGCTTCTTATCTAATGTTGGGAGCTTGAAAGGTTTAAAACATGTAATTCTTTTATCTCAGGTATCTCTCTCTCTCTCTCCTTCCATCTATATATATACATACACCTTTTCAAGTATGTGCTTTTTTGTTTATGTAGTACTTGTAGACCCTAGTGTTTTAACGAGGTTGCAGTTGTCTGTTTATGGAAGCAGTGGTGGCATCCAAGCTCTCATGAAAAGCAATGCAAAAAAATTGGCTGAGCGGGATGAATCAACTCTCAAGGCCTTTGGAATTCCTTATACCATCATCAGAGCAGGCAGGCTGCAAAATACTCCTGGTGGAAAACAAGGCTTCAATTTTGAGGAGGTATTATTGTGATCTGCTTGTTCGAGGGATTGCACAGTCAGTACCTAGTGTTCGATTTAGCAATATTACATAGTTTTTGGGAAAAGATTTTATGTTGGATGGGTCATCCTCAACAACTCCGGCAAGTAAAAGTAGGTAGAGATGCACACTTCTGATATTGTGTCAGGATACTAAAGCAGAAGAAGAATGGAAATAGGAAGATAAAAATGAGGAAGAAACAGAAAAATCTAGAGTAGCAAAGAGAAATTGCAAAGTTGCAACCGGAGATTTCTATGTTTCTTTAATTGATAAGCGAAAATATCAGTTGATCATGTGTATATGTGTTATTCATACACACATATAAAAAGCTTAATATGTATCTCGACAGCTATTTATTATTAGTCACAAAAATGTATGAATGTGTTTCTGCATTATAGCTACAACTATCACCACCATAACACTTTCCATGAACAGGGCACCGCAGCAAAGGGAAATTTAAGCAAGGAGGATGCTGCCTCTATATGCGTGGAAGCACTTAATGTAGTTCCACAAACAGGATTAATATTTGAGGTTGGTGATCCCTATACACACCTTTATATCACAAGGGCATGTAATTCTGTTTGTTTTGGCCCAAAATTTATCATAGCTTTTTTATTTTTGAGAAGATGCAAAGGTTTAGGATTATGATTAAGAAACATTAAGTAAAGAGATAAATTGTTTATAACTGTGGTTTTAGGTAATACTAGTGAGACTCTTCCAAGAATCTTGGATTAGAGAGACTAATGTATCAGTAATCCATGCAAAGAGGGGTGAGATTCCAGATGATCTCAATTATGAATATAATCATCAGGCACAAAACAAAGATTTCTTTTAAGGAATAGAAGGCATGAACAGAAAGCAATTTGAAAAGAGGATAACGAATTTCTTTATCGTCTTTGCAACTTGCTGAGCAAAATCTTGTGTAGCAGATGTCATTGTTCTTCCTCTCTTTACCTCTTCTTCTGATTTTGATAGTTAATTTGGGTGCTTTATATTCCATCACTTTGGATGATATCAGGTGGTCAACGGAGAAGAGAAGGTTTCTAATTGGGAAGAGCGGTTGACTAGATTGATGAAGAAGGAAAGAGCAGAGAAGTAGCCTACAATGGAAGTATGAATAATTTACTATTAATAATGATGGATTTGTATATCATTGTCCAATAAAATAACACATTTTTTTTCTGGTTTGGAGTTAAATCTTCTAAGTCTATTCTGTAGTTTTGAAACTTGAACTACATTCAATTTAAACACTAAACCCATTTACTTTTGTAGATGATACTGTAGATTTCAATAGGATCTTAACCAGATCATCTTGTCTGAGGATTTTTCAATAGTCATTAGATCTTGTAATAGGATTTTTTTCACTGGTCATGATTGCTTTTAACAATGTGTGCCAAACAGGAGCCCTACTAAATTTATTTCTTTTTAATTTTTTTATGGGATGATTTTTTATTTTTCGTTTCCACATTTTATTTAGCAATTGGAATTGTTTTGAAATATTGAGCACTTTCTCTACAAAGGCTGATGGCTAACATTAAACTTTGTTTCCCTCTTAGAGAATCAAATTGTAGCATTTGTAAGACATTATCTGAAGGATACATAGTGAAATAGCAACTTTAAAAATAAAAACCTAAAAGAATGAATCTCAAGTAAAGAATATAAGAAATTCCAACGGTTCACACGGTTGGAGAAGGGCAACAAAAACAAGTGCCACAATTTCAGTATGTAATAAATTAAAATAACAATGAATGTGTTCATAACTAATCTTGGATGGGAATAGCTATTAGTTACCGTTTGTAGAAGTAGAAGAAGAGAAGAAAGGACGGGAAAGGAAGAGGATGATAATCTACAAAGTTCTACTGAACTCAAAATTTATACTCATATTTAAATATTTTCAGATAATATAACAGTATTTTGAGTATTTTAGTTGTATGAAAATTGTACAACTTAGTTTTGCTAATTATTGACATTTTTAAGATCCTTGATGAGTTGTCATTTCTAGTTGCAAAAAATAAGATTATTGTAGGATTAAAATACTCTAAATTCGTTTCTTGTATTTCATTTTCGCTATTACGGTATTTGTATTTTTAAAAAATTATATTTCAATTCTAAGTCATTAATAGTGTTAGTGGAGATGTCATGTGAACCCATCAGATACTACGTATCTGATCAAATTGTATATAACATGGACTTTTTAATTCATGCAATATAAATAGGTTCAATTAAAAAAAAATATTGAAGTAAAAATCAATAGTTCCATCAATTTTAACCTTAAAACCCTAAATTCCCAAAGTATGCTACTTCATCCTCGCTCTCTCTAGTTTAATTCTTCCTCATTGTCCTCTTATTGGAGTGGCGTACACGATTTCTTTCCTGTGGCTTTTCTCATCACACTCCTTCTAGTGACTCCTTATATGCCAAACGACAAGACTTGTTTTAAAGTTGTCCCCGAGCTTGTGTCTCTATCCCATCCACAAGTAAGCTTTGATTCAAACTATAAATTATTTCGAGATCTTAAACATATGAATATGAGGATTTGAATAAGAGGTGTTGGATTTAATATTTTCGTCAATTTTCGATATATGTATAATATCTAAAGTTTCAATTTAATTAGTAACTTTTGGTTTGAGATTCAATTTAGTTAGTAAACTTTCACTAATCTGTAATATTAGACAGCAGAATAAATCACTAAAATGAGTGCACATGAGAGAAACTGAGATGGCTTGGAGAAGCAGCCACTAGAGAACGAGAGCACAAACGAGAACCTAGAGTAATTTGGAGAAGCAACCACCAGTGAATGAGATTAGGATGGATTCGACAATGGACAAGAAGACGGAGCCACCAGTGAACGAAAGAGTTCGGAAGAGAGAGTGTCAAAGAATGAGAGATGTCTACGCCAACATACCAAAAAAAGAGTACGACAAAAGAGATTTAGTATTCATGAATTTAAGTTTTAAATTAAAATCGTTCACTTACTCTAGTCTTTTTATTATTATTATTTTTTATTTGAAACGACTTATATATTTTTTTAAAAATTAAATTTTACCATATTAGATATCACATCATTAAAAATATGATATCTGATATAAATAACGATAAATTGAGAATGTTTCACATGGTCAATTTGAGTTCATGTGATTAATCTAGATTTATGTGAATATCTACTAGCACCTTTAATGATCAAGAACTAATATATAAATTTTTTAAAAATATAGATACCAAAATAGCAACAAAAAAAAATACTAATTTACATATTTAAAATAATATAGAAACTAAATTAGTATTTTAACTCATATTTAGTACAAAATTATAATAATAATTTATTAGCAAAATTTAAATTATTCACATATCATAGTTGCTAATCTAAGCGTACTACAGCTGATAATTTCTCTCGATTTATTGTACCTGACTTTTAAAAGATGATATGATTTTATCATTTCTTTTTTAAGCCATTACGAGTAATATAATGCTAGCTTTTAATATAATTTATCTCTAATCCACCATCCACCCTTTTTTTAAATAACAGATAAGATTCTAATGTTATGTTAATAAAAAATGAAGTGCAAGTAGTAATTGTTTAAAAGCAGATTCTCTCTCTGTTCACACTTTCCATAACAAAGTTTGATTTGTCCTGGTATTGCCATAAAGCTTCTTGATCATACATATTCTTGACTCCATGATCCGCTCAAAAGAAGCCTATTTAAATAACTTAAACTAATAAGAAGTTACTTTCCTTGTATGGTTACGAAAAAAAAAAAAAAAAAAATTGGCTGACGAGTCATATAGGAGAAATGATCCAATAATATTCAATCACGTATACGATAACTTTGGTATAAAGTCAATGTCAAAATTATGGTTAAAAGTAGAGAAGTTAAAACCCTATTCTTAAAAAGAGCTTGTGGTTAAAAGCTCAAGAAAAGATACCAATAATTGAAGTCCTTATGAACATCAAGGTTCAAAATTTGTACCTATACTGTCAATTGACATCAATTGTCCACATGGGTCCTCCTCAACCCACATCTGGAAAAACCAAAAGTAGTTTCAAGAAAATAAACAGAGAAAAATTGAAATAAAAGTAATTGGGTCCACTAAAAATTTTTCCCCCTCAATCAATTTATACCTGTGTATCCATGTTCGGAGAAAGAGAAAAGATGGAGAACTGTAATGACATCCTCAATTGCAACGCCACAGAAACATTAAACCACCAAAAAAGAGTAAGATGAGAGTGAAAAGAACAAAGAGAAAGAGGCTCAAGCATAGTTAAGGATTATACCTTCAAAAGAATCACTGGACCCTTCTTCCTGTTTGTGTGATGATAAATTTATATTCGCAGTGCTTCTACTTTCTTTTTAACTACCTTGCTACCATCACCTTTTATAATTCTTTTTCTTCCTCCTTAAGAGACCTATCTTGAAATCTGGAGTGTCAGTGCCAGTAAGCTGAGACAAAACATAGGTCAAAAGCTATGATGATTCTATAGTATGAGATTCCAGACTTGTGGTGTTCAATCCAAAACCAAAAGGAAACCCGCTTACTCCATTTGTCCCAAGCATCTTCAATATCAAAAGGCCATCCAAAACTAAAAGGAAACCCGCTTACTCCATTTGTCCCAAGCATCTTCAATATCAAAAGGCCAGTAGTTCTCAAGGTCATAGAAGAAGTGAGGTTCTTATTTCCCACAATAGACACAATAGACACAAATGCCAGAGAAAGATTTATGAACAAGAAGTTTATATACTTGAAGAACTCGCAAGTGGTTCTCAAAAGCTAGTATATACCAATCCTTACTCTTCAACTTCGGTACAGAAACTAAAAAGGAATCTCTTTTCACAAAGGAAAAGATATGTAGGGGCATCCAATGTTCCAAGAAGAGGCAACTCATATGATAAATGATTAAATTACAATTTCCTCCAACAATTTAAAGGATGAGTGGAATTTTAAGGCTTCAATTTCCAATCTAAACCAGTTTCTGCTAACCAAGAGTTTAGCATCAAGCAGACAACATATGACTACACAAAATTTTACTTCACTTCAATCTAAATTTTGCAAGAGAATCATTGCTTGAGTTTGATTAGATAACATGACTACACAAAATTACAATTGCAGATTTGTCAAGCTGTTATTTCTAATATAAATTGTGAAACTTGAAATAAATTTCAAAACCTCAAAACCGTGAATATTACATATGAACTACACAGTGCATCCAAGTCTTCCCCACCAAAATAAAAATGCCCTTTTTTATTCTGCAATTTAGGAGTTGAATCTAGTTAAACGCTCGGGTTTGTAATTAAAGCTAGGTTGAACAATTTACCCAGATCTAAATCTCTTCTGACTGGCTTTGCCATCAGATTTCAAAGTCATGGCTGACTCCCCTTCAGAAGAAGCCTCTGCTGACCTAGTAAAAGAGGTTGAAAGATCTGCATAAAGATCAACCACCCTTCTTATATTGTTATTAAGCTCCCTAATCAAACCCACATTCCTGCTCAAGTTATCAGGGATTTTAGACTCATGGTTTTGATTGATCTCGTTGATTAGTAACCTATTTTGATCTAGAATATCTTGAACTTGCACGAAACTCTTTTGAAATGTCTGTAACACCCTCCCGTCAACTCGGTTTCCATTTCCTAAGCCTGAAAATACATCTCCGTCCATCAGAATTTTACTTCACTTCAATCTAAACCAAGCCTTCGTACACCTGCATCACAAGTACAGTAAACCATACAAAATAAGGTCGTGAATTTTTATTAAAAATTAGGTAACGGTGGAGGAGAAACAAGAAGGGAACTTCACCAAAACTTTTAGTTTGGCAACCAACATTTTATTTTCTGATTTCAGACTCTAGATTCAATGTTCATATGCATTGAATGAAATGAAAACCAAAACAGTATGACAAGATCCGAAAGTTATTTTGGTCCAGAAACTAGCTAAAGCTATGAAAGATATTATTAAAGGAATAGAAGTTATTGCTGAAAGTACTGGTACTCAATAATCTAGGCTATGCCCAGCAGATAACTACCTGAATTGAACCAGAGACAAGAACTTTACCCCGTCTATATTGTCAAATGTTAGCATACCTGTTTATATTTGTTTCCCCCTCATTATACGAGCAAAGAAAGAGATATGCATGATATACCATATATGAAGCAGGGCCAAACAGACAGAGGTATAGTTTTATGTCATCAGAAGAAAAAACAATACTAGCTCCATAAATAAATATTTCCTGAAAAGAATAATTCGAAATAAACAATGTATTTTGTTTTGTATTTGTGAACAACAAAATAAAATAAAATGAAGAGAGATCTATCGTCGTCGAAGAAGAAAAACAGAATGTGTTGTTCTTGAAAAGATTGTGGTAGATTACCGATATCAACCATGAATTAAAAGGTAAATATTGATTGGAATACTTCTGATAAGTTCAATAGAACTCCGCACACCAGCAATTCATGCAACAAAACGAACAGTTACATAACAAAAAAAGAATATACTTCAGCAAAAAGTTGCTACC